AAAAAAAAAAATCTGTCAGGCTGCCATGAGTCATAACTGACTGGAGGCCAATGTTTTTTGTTTTTTACTTTTTTTGGGGGGGTGTGGGTGTCAGTACATTGAGAGAGAGAAGGATACCCTTCAGCTGATCTCTTAAACACCAACTTCACTAGACAGAAATGTCAAACTTATTTTGGTGCTCTATGCTGAAATTAGGAGCCTAGATAGTTTCAGCAGTTTGCGATTGGCTTCTAACCAAAGGGATGGAGGTCTGAACCTACCCAGTAACTCCATGAAAAAAACCGCTAGTATTCTGTTTACATAAAGATTACAGCGAAGAAAACCCCTAGGGAGCAGCTCTACTCTTTGATACTTGCAATTATGGAGTTGGAGGCTAACTCAACAGTTGCTAAAACCAAGAAGTACAGGCTGAAATTAACAAAAAACATGACACAGTCATTTAACTTTTTTATTAAAATGCTTTTTTTGGTTTCTAGAGACAACCAAAGAAAAACTCATAATTTTATATGTTGTAGGTCATATGTCATATGAAACACAATAAACAATATACTCTTGAGAATGCAGAATAGATTTTTAAAATCTTTTAAAATCTCTTTTAAAGAAGGCTTTCATAAAAACAAACTTGAAAAATGTGGCTTATTTTTATTTACCTAATTTTCCAGAAAAGTTCTGGCTTCTCCTCTCCATTTTGATACTACTTTGTGATTTATAATTATTCAAATACTCTAACACAGATTTTGTTTTCTGAAATTTGAGAAGTCAAATTTTGAAATCTTTTAATTTTTTGCATTCTGTGTAAACAAAGCCCAGATTTTAGTCAAATTTTTGATTTGGTACTACTATTACGGTACTACTATTATAAGTACAGTTTCACTTTTTACTGTAAGAAAGAACATTTTCCGTATGATCTTTATAATAGCTACTGGTTTAAAATCTTGTGGGCTTCTTATTTTTGAAGCAGGGGTTGGTTATAAATATTTTTTGTTACTTTTTTTTAACCAAAGCTTCAATATACAAGTGAACTGTGGGTGTTAATAGTAGGTCTACATTTTGGTGAGGCTGAAGGCTTCACCAGTATTATACTTTTAAATTGAAAAACTGTTACCCAAAATCTAAAAAACATTAAGAAACTGTAAATGGAATCTTTTAGATGAAAGAAAATACTGTACTTCTGTCTGTCTTTCAACTTCTTCATAAATCACAAAAATTAAGCAAACTTTGAATATAAAATCCATTACATTTAAGGAAAATGTCGCAAGAGAGAAACAGTGATAAGAAAAATCAGTTAAAACATAATGTGGTTCAAAAAAGCATCCTCCTAATGTAGGGGAAAAAAATAGAAATATTTTAAAATTTAATAATGACAACCTAAAAGCGGCGACACTAGTGCCAGTTAAAAAAAAATTTTTTTTACATATTTAAGGAAACAAGAACCATTTTATCAAATAAGCAAAAATATCCTTCTATTCATAGGTATGAAATTACTTTGAGAAAGAGCCAACTTGAAATGAAGCAGCTGGCTGTAAATGCTTTTAAAGCTTTCTCTTTTTTAAGTTCAAGAAAATGCTCAGCATTAATATGAATTAATTAATTAATATTAATTAAGAAGGGGAACTGAAACATTTACATTTTCAAAGTACTTTTAAGGAAGCACCCTATGTAAAAGTAAAAAGAATATCTCAATTTTCTCCTATTAAAAAAATACACTTATGAGCTAAAATGCAAAATTTTAAGAGGCTAAACTACCTTGATTGTATTCATTACAGTTACCTGAAAGAACAGAAGTGGATCAGGGATTTAAATTTTATAATAGTTAATCATAGCATTACATATAAACTTTAACTACTGTTTAGATAATGAATAATACAAAATGTATCCAAGAACATTATCTATTTGTAGGTACTAAAATATTTAGACATATAAAAAGGTATTCCTAAAAAGTTACTTGTATATGCACTAGAGAAACTAGTAATTTTGTAGAGTTAAGAGTCTATGTAATTTAAGTATTTATATTTAAAGACTGGAATTTTATTACTAGAACGGGCACATAGTGTTTAAGCTTATCTTTATTGAAACTATATAAAAAGCTGACAAAATGTAGTACATCTGGAAGCAACTGTCATCTTGAACAGAATACTTCTCTAGTTTCATAATCTTAACACCTCAGTGTATAATTACACTTCTTTAATAAGAATATTAGATCCAGATATAAACTTAATCAATACTTCTAAGTGTGTTTCCTATGATAATTCCCAGCATTTCCAAACTTTTCCTGTCCATAACCATAAATTCTCTTTTTTAATTTCCCTCCTATCACTTTTAAGCCCTTGGTTCTGAGAGTGGGCACATCCCTGCCTTGTAGGATAGTATCAGGGAGGCCAGTCAGGCCCTGGTACTCTAGCTACTGCCCAATTTGGCACATTACCCATCCCAATCGCTCTTTAAGCTGGTACTTTATGTCACAGGAAATACTTTAGCATCCTAATTATTTACCCTAGCAGTGTATTTAATACATTTTCATAGGTGTACCCTGATATTTCTAGTAAAGATACTGCCTCATGAACTACAGAAACCCTTTGGGCAAGGAGAACAGAACACAAAGAGGAATGTTTCTTAAAGCTTTATGAGCATGTTGTATCCTGTTATGTAATAGTTTTAAATTGTAAAATATAGTAATTCCTTTCTAAAACTAACATAATATGATTTGAAATTAAGCTTTTTATGGTGATTTTATATGAATTTTAGAGCAATACACTTGAGTATCTATGTAATTTATGAAACAGGGGAACAATGAAAGGCACAATGAAGAATGGCATATAACTCCAAAAACTCGGTGTCTTAGGAGTACATCAAACAAACCATAACTTACTGAACATGCTTTTGCCAACACTTTAAAAACAAAAGGTTTTGGAATGCTAGAAGAAAATGGCATCAGTTTTTATATATGAAGCCTCAGATTTTCAAAGAATTCTCTATGTTCTTGTTTCCTCACATGACCAAAATTGTACAAGGATTCAAAGAAGTAAAGGAAGGCTTTATTGCTAGTAAGCAATAAGGTCAATAAGAGCAGTTATAATCATATAATTTAACAAGTTATTAGATTTGTTGTATTTTAAAGGTAGTATATTCCCAATTTTTAAATCTTCTTTTTCACCTCACTGAATAACATTTCATACCTTTCTTTTTGACAAAATTGTTCTGCTTTGTATTTTCTTTCCTTCTTTAAAACATACAGTTCATGCACTTGACAGTTTTACTGCCGTAGTCAATGCATTCGGGCCCAATGCACTCGCAGCAGGCATTGTGGAACCAGCGGTATTTGGATGCCCCCATGGACTCACAGGATATCTTGCACTGATGTATGGACATGCAGTCATCAAAGTACACCACAGTGCACATGTGTTCTGAAAAATAATTAAAAAAAAAACTTCAGAGCAAGAAAGAGGGTAACAGCTGAGTATTATTAACGATTACTTATCTTAGTTCTTTTATTGCCGGTTTACACAGGACGAGGTGAGGAAAGAAAAGATCCCTGTTTGTTACTTACATTAAAAAGGGAGCCAGATTTTCCCACTGTAGTTGAAGAATGCAAAGGGCTTCCCTAGCTAGTTTTAATAGATTTCAGACTATGACTTAAAGGTTAGCTTATTGGATTTAAAAACATTTGCTATACTATAGAGGTGTGCTTTGTAAACTGGACATTTCTAATACAATTTCCTATGAGGAAAGAGTTCCCCAATTAAAAGAAGTTTATAAAAAATACTCTTCTAAGGTTGTACTGAGTATTTACAATAAAATGCAACAAACTTAAGCAATCCAAACGATGCAAAGCGATAAGAAATGCTTGGTGCAAATATTTTTAATGCATTTTATTGAAATATAATTTATGTACAGTGAAATATACAAAACTAAAGTGACAATGGGTCAATGCACTTTTTTTTTTTTTGCAGTGTTCTCTCCCCTCCCTTCCTACCCCTGGCAACCAAAAAAGAAAATTTCTCTCCATATATAAGCCTTCCCTTGACCCTACACAACAATAAACTAATACTATATTTGTCCTTCTGTGATTGCCTTATTTCACTCAACATAATGTCCTCTAAGTTCATCCATGTTATGTGGTGTTTTGCAGACTCTACATTATTCTTTAGTGCTGCATAGCATTCCATTGTGTGCATGTACCATAGTTTGGTCATCCACTCTCCTGTGGGCATGTAGGTTGTTGTTTCCATCTTTTTGCTATTGTAAACAGTGCTGCAATGAACATGGGTTTGCATATATCTGTTCCAGTCCTGGCTCTCACCTCTCTAGGATAGATACCTAGTAATGGGACTGCTGGGTCAAATGGTATCTACAATTCCAGCTTTCTAAGGAACTGCCATACTGCTTTCCACAGTGGTTTTATCACTTCACAGTCCCACCAACATTGTATCAGAGTCCCAATTTCTCCACATCCCTGCCAGCATTTACTCTTCTCTGTCTCACTGAACCTTGCCATCAGTGCTGGGGTGAGAGGGTATCTCATGGTTGTTTTGATTTGCATCTCTCTGATGGCCAATGATCCTGAGCATCTCTTCATGTACTTTCTGGCTGCCTGAATATCCTCCTTGGTGGAGTGTCTATTCATGTCTTCCGGTCATTTTTCAATTGGATTGTAAATCCCTTTGCTGTTGAGGCACTGGCATTTTCTATAAATCTTAGAGATAAGTCTCTTGCCAGATATGTAATTATTGACAAGTGTGAATTTGTTGCTGTCATTTTGTTATGTGCTTTTCTGTGGTGTTGATTTCTTTGTTCCATATAATTTTCTGTGCTAATTTTATTTATGAATCGTATTATCATTTCCTTTGTTGGTATTGTTTTAATATTTGTTAAATATTTGTGCTGGTCTTCTTTTTTATGTTGATGTGAAGGTTTATCGTTTTTCTTTGAAGCTACCCTGTGATTTATAATTTTCTTCTCAAGTTTAGAACAGTCCATTCTATCTTGTAGTTGTCTTGACTTCCCTACCATTTAGAAGTTCTGTAACTACACAATTTTTTCCCTCTTTTTGATTTGTAGTTGTCCTCATTTGTCAATTGTTGTCTCTAGTTCCCTGTTTACAATCCTGTAGGGGTTATTTTCTTTGGATACTTCCATAGCTGGGTTGGTTTCTGGGATATGTCATCATGTGTGTTAACGGTCAGTTGTTTGCTGTTGTTGGTTCTCTGTCCAAAGGATTTCCTTTAGCATCTCTAGTAGGGTTGGTCTGATTTTAACAAATTCTCTTAATTTCTGCTTATCTGGAAATGTCCTAATTTCACCATCATATCTGAGGGACAATTTTGCTGGGTATGTAATTCTTGGTTGGAAATTTTCCTCTTTCAGGGTTTTGTATATACCATCCCACTGTCTTCTTGTCTGCATGGTTTCTGCCAAGCAACCTGAGCTTAGTCTTATTGGTCACCCCTTGTAGGTAACTTTGTTTTAGCCATGCTGCTTTCAGGGTTCTTTCCTTGTCTTTGGTTTGGTAAGTTTGATGATGACATGTCTTGGTGATTTTCTTTTGGGGTCTATCCTGTTTGTGGTTCATTGGACTTCTTGAATGGATATAGTCTCATCTTTTATCATACCAGGAAAATTCTCTTCCAACAAATCTTTGACAATTTTTTCTGTGGTTTTATTTGTCTCTTCCTGTTCTGGAATTCTGTTTATATGTAGGTATTCCTTTTGATGGTATCCCACATGAACCCTAGGTTTTCTTCATTTTGTTTTGATCTTTTTTCTGACTGATCCCTTTCCAAAGACATACTGAGGTATTTGCCTTCAATTTCACTAATTCTGTCTTCCATTGATTCAATTCTACTCCTCTGCCTGTTCAATATGTTATCTATTTCTGAAAATTTAGTATTAATCTTCCTGATTTATGTTTGTAGATTTTGTATCATTTCTAATTTTTCATTTATTTTGTCATTTTGTTCTTGTATTGTCTTTTGAAATTGTTCTAAGGTTTTCTCTGTGTTTTCCTCAATTTTGTCAGTGCCTTCCTTGATCTGTCTCTCAACTCGTTGAAAGTACCTAAATATAACTCTTTTGAATTCCTTATCAGGGAGTTCCAATGCTGCATCCAATGCTGCAATGTGTTTTGGGTCTATATCCTGGTCCCTTGTTTCTCCTGCTTTATCTTGCTTCTTTGTGTGGATTGTGATGCTCTGTTGTCTTCAAGGCATTGTGACGTTTTTGTGTTTATATTTAATTGGTGATTCTACGTTGGAGTGATTTGCCCACAATTTTTGTTTTCTTTGTATGTTATCTACATATGCAGGATACTGTGCTGTGCTCCTCTATTTGCTAGTTGGCAGCACTTATATACTTATCATATGTCTCTTTGCCCACTGTCAGCCTCTGTATGTTCCTCCTATCCTCGGCAAACAGAGCCTATTCTTAGGTTCCTGGAATCTGAATGAAAATGCTGTCACTTTAAAATCCAAAATGGCCACCGCTTGTAAACATCCAAAATGGCTGTACCCTCGGTCACTTAAAATATCCAAAATGGCTGCTGCTTGTAAAGATTTAAACTGGCTGTGCCCTCAGTCACTTTACATATCCAAAATGGCCACCGCTTGTAAACAATCAAAATGGCTGCACCCTCCAGACAGCTGAAAGTCCACAGCTCAGATTGTCTCCCTTCCTGCTATTTCCCTTCCTAGTCATAGGCCACCAGTGCAGTTATCCCTGCAGCCCATGGTCAATTCTCAAGTCCCAACACTACTTGGAAATAAGCAGGCTGTTGGTCCCATCAAAATAGCCGACAGTCCACTTCTCTGATCATCTCTGTACTCACTGTTTTCATTCAGGTTTTTCCACTAGTTGGTGCCTAATCCACTTCTATATACTTCCTTTCAAAGCTCAGGGCTCCAAGATTATCTTCTGTATCCCTGTCAATTGGTTTCTCTTTTCTTTGTTGAAGAGGGTCTGTGTAGCTTGTCTGCTTATTCCTCCATCTTACCAGAAGTCTTAAAAAATATTTTTTTTGTTATTAATAGTGATTTCTAGTCTTGCTACCAAAGGCAACTTTTCAACTTATTGTGATTTGGGTGAAAGTTTACAGAGCTAATCAGTTTTCCATTCCACAATTCACATACATGTTTCATGTCAGTGATAAGACAACCATTTTTGATCAATTCAGTTTTAGCTCTCTGGTAGTTAATTAATTCCATACAACACCAAGCTAGGAGGACAGGGTATGTGGAACAAACAAAGGACAATACAAACCAATGATAGTGAGTATATGACTAATGGCTAAGTTTTCCTAAAGAACCATTTACAGAACTGATAAATCACCAGAGAACTGAATATTAAGGGAAGACTCAATGGAAAACGCTGCACTAGACTTAGGAAGAACCAAAAGCAAAGCTATGAAGTAACAAAACAAGGAAAGTCAAAAGGAAGTGGGTATAGTGTTGTAGTGTGCAGGGGGGATGCTGTTGTTGTTATGTGCTGTTGAGTCGGACCTGACTCATAGTGACCCCTCCTTGGGTTGCCGAGACAGTATCACTACGGAAGTAGATTGCCCAACTTTCCTTTCGAGGAGTGGCTAGTGGGTTTGAACCGCCAGCCTTTGGTCAGCAGTCAAGTGCCTTAGGCCCTACGCTACCAGAGCTCCTGCAGGGGTATAGAGTGGAGGAAGTTATCAGAAACACTATTTTTTTGGTTACTTTGTACCTGCTCTAACAGAAAATATCATAAATGGAATGACTTTAACAAACAGGAGTTTATTCTTTTACAGTTTTGGAGGCTAGAAGTCCAAGTTCAAAGTGCCAAGCTTTAGGGGCTCTAAAAGCCCCTTGACCTTGGGCTTTAGCTCTGTCCCTTGCTCCTGGCCCACTGAAGGTGGAGACTTTGTTTACTCAGGCAGCTGCTGGCTGCTGAGGCTGACAAACCCAAAGGGGACAAGTAAAAAGGCACAGTGCTGATATCACCAAACCACATGGTAGGCCACTGATTCAAGTCCATTAAGAGTCCCAACAGACAGTATGGCAGGCTGCTGAATGACAACTTGGCTACATGCTGGATTCAAGAGTGCTGAAAGCTAAAGACTGTCCTCAAAGTTGCTTCTTATCTACTGGAAGCAGACCACATCTCTTAAAGCAGCCACTCAGCTGCTCCAGTAGATTCCATCATGGAGTTAGTTACCAATTTCACTATGAGGAATAACTACATCCAGCTGCTCAGCCACTCAACCAGGCCCAGCCAAACTGACATACAACTTAGCTACCACAACTACTGGGCATATCCAATGCAGCTTAGTTAAAGAAGAAAATTGGGAGGCCAGCACAGCACCAGATTGGAAGTAGCTGGCAGTTAAGTGACGGGAAGAGGGGATGGTGGGGTGGGGAGTGGTGGGAGCATCTGAGTCCCCAGATGA